ATCCATCCTTGTTTTAGGACTGCTTCACCCACTGTGTTATCACCCACTAAAACTTGGAGGTGACGTAAAAACTGTGACGGCGACCGATCACCTAGTGTTTCACCTTGAAAAAGTCTTTGAATTCTTTGACTATCTGATAATGATAAACGGTTCATTATCTCTCGTCTTAAGATGGTGTATGGTTGTGGTGATGGTGGACTCAAAATCAAGTCACGGACTTCTTTGGCGACTGAAGGAGGAAGGATAGAACACAAGTCTCTATAGCGAATCCCTTCAGATTTGATATTGTGTCTCGTGAAATAATGCTCTAGTTGAGCAAACCACAACTCAGGATCACTGCGATCAAATTCCGGAATTCGAGATTTCGTAGTCATAACAGTGTCTATTTCCACTGGTGACAAATCCTCCAGATTATGGGTTTCTATTGAGTCTGACATGAGGTATGTGACAAATATAGCAATAAAGTTAGCACGAAAAATGGTTACTATAACACGAATAACTTAAGATAATACGGAACAAACTAGTTATATACTCAACTTAGTTTACGGATAATCAGGTCTACTTTTACGATTAAGCAAAAAATGGTAACAACAGAAATGAGGTTGAATTTGTGTTCAAAAAGGGCTCACCACTTTCGTGTCTTAAGGTAACCCTCGTGCTATTGATAGAAGAAAACAGACAAATAGTGAATAGGTCTTTATTTCGGTCTTCGCGCAGTGACAGTGGAGCGTGGGATTATCTGTTCAGACAAACAAAGGCTCTCAACATTCAATATAAGATATTAGGGAATATAACGCTTATACAAAATAAGGAAGTGAATGAATACTTGAACAATACTGTTTTGGCATATGCTTAATTGTTTGGGGTCAACTCTTAACCAACCAACCTAAGCTGTTACACACTTGTTGGTTCACAAAATGCTTCGCAACTTAAGTTTATAGTTGTTATAAAGTATACTCGTAGGGCGCTTGCTGTAAACCGTGATCTTGAGGAGACACGTACGTCAAGTTTGTTCCAGACGTCAGAAGTTTCATAGCTGTGCCCTCAGAGCAAATTTCTGAAGAAAAAAAGAGAAACAGAAGAGCAGAAAGTCAATTGGATATGAACACCAAACGTTCCTTAACACTGTGTAGTAGAAAGAACAGAGGTATAATAAATTAGAATAGATTCATATGATATCTTGTTAGAGTGAAATGAAGTCAGAGGCTCCATATTAGAGAATGTAGTAATAAAGAACAATGAGTTGTGTCGTTTAACGAGTTGTAGTAAGCTAACATGAAGGAAAGGAATTCAAGGCTGGTACAAGGAAAGCGGTTTATTAGAAGGGTGTGTATATAGAGGGTGAGGTGTTAAGAATACTAATAGCTATATCTTTTGCTGTCTAACTTTTTTTCCCTTGTTTTTGTTTATCCGATGCCAGCCACACAATCCTAGTGTAAAAGTCCAAGTTAGCATGTTATAGGTTGTCTTAGTAGAATAGCTAATCCAGCATAATATTGGAAACGTGAGTCTGAGTGGTGAGCTTAGGAAAACAATCTGTATCACAGATTGATTGACTTATTCTCAATCATAAAGAGCCTGATACATACAAAATGTTCTGCCCCCACAAACACAGGTGGATTGAAGTTATCGCCCTCACCATCAATGCTTGCTGGTCAGTAACTCCACCCTCCCTCCTTTTGGGATGTTAGGGGGATGGGTGAGAATTCGAGATCTACATCATCGGGCTGGCTATTGCAGGCAGGCTTACATGTACTCCGTGGGCCGCTACTCAGGATGGCGGATTGTGAGATTGTTAGGTGTTTGGGGTCAGCCGCACTGTCTAAATACTGCTCAAAACATGTGATGCTTTTGTTTGAACTGACAAATGATGTCGACTCTAACGGTATGTGACTGCTCTTATCTATATCTACAAGCGAGATACAAGGTAGTAATATGTCTTGTCCACGTAAAGGGTGCACGTTTAGTGTAACTGAGGGAAGATCAGAGTAGGATGCAGACTGATCAGTGTGTAGATCAAAGCTGCCCTGGAAAAGTCTTATGAAGGTGGAATTGACAATATTCCTTCATCATTTGTGAAATATGGAAGTACAGAATTTTCATTATATTGTCCAAAACGGCTCAACCTATTTATGGAATACGGGACCTAACCATCTGTATGGAAAACATCTCTTATTGCCCCTAGATTTAAAATAGGATCACTTGGTGATATGGTTTACTATAGGCCAATTAATTTGACATCCGTGCTATCAAGAACCATGAAAAAAAATCATCCACAAACAGCTTTTATAATTGTTGCTTTCAGCTAGTCTGATTAGTCCATCCCAACACGGGTTTATGGATAAACTCTAATGCTTGACATCGCACCTGGAATTTTTCGATCAAATTACCCAGGGAAGAGATGTTAGTCAGTCAGTGATAATTCCGTACTTCGACTTTAGTATAGCTTTCGACAGTGTCACACAAAATTCTTCAACAACTTTCTTCATTTAGCATACGGAATCCCTCATTATATTGGCTCAAGTCTTTTTTGGCAGAACATAGCCAAATCGTCCGCTTTGAATCTTGCTACTCTAAGCCTGCGAATTTAACCAGTGGGTTATGTAAGGAACTGTAATTGGTCCATTGCTCTTTTCCCCTCTTATGTCAGTATGATAAACTATTTTTTGACGATGACTAAAAAGTGGTTGATTCGTTCTCATCTCCCACCGAAGAAGCTATATTTCAGCTTTTTCAGAATTTTACACTAATTTTTCGAGAAAGCAGGAACAATGTGGTGTGTTGTACAGATCATTGAGACTACTTGCAACCAACGATTTTCCTTTATATTTCCAAACATGCTAGAAAAACTAAAAAAGTACAATAGGCAGGCCAGAAATGTGAAATATCATGATAGGTAATCGTGTTTGATGTAATATATGTAGTAGAAATTCCCATATGTATACAGAACATATTGTCCAGGCAACGAATAGACTGATGAACAGAGGCAGTTATAGGGCTGTGGACGAATGTTATTTTATTGTATTGCAAATAGAATTGGTTGAGTAATAATTAGTCATTCATAATTTAAAACAAATATCGCAAGTATCCATGAAAAATACAGACTTCTAGCTCTAATATTCAATTATATTCTACACTTGAGCCTTACCAAAGTCGTACTGCCGCATCACTAGTGGAGGACGACTTTGGTAAGGCCCAAGTGTTCTCAAACTACTTTAGTAATGTATACGCCATAGAAACACCCTTCCCGTCAGCGCACACAGATCCCGCACACATACACTGGATAGCGGGACCATTAAAGAACTCGATGTCTTTGGTCCACTAAATAAGCTTGATATAGGTAAATCCACGGGGCCCGATGAATTACATCCTAGGCTACTGAAGGAATTATCTAACTTCGTTGCGAACCCTTTAAGTAAATGCTTTAACCTATCCGTAGCGCAGGGTCGTTTACCCAAAGACTGGAAGAACGCCATAGTAGGTCCTGTTTTCAAAACAGGTAAGAAGCACAAACCTGAGAATTACCGCCCCGTTAGCCTAACTAGTGTGGTTGTTAAGATCTTAGAAAAGATTATTCGGAAGGAGCTGTTTAAGTATCTCGATAAAAACCGGATCCTTCCGGAGAAGCAGCACGGTTTCAGAATAGGTTTCTCTTGTCTCACTAACCTATTAGTGGCTCGAGAAAGCTGGCGCGCTCTTAAGGACCAAAAGTTACCTATAGAAGTAGCCTTCATTGATTTCGGCAAAGCTTTTGACAAGGTTCCGCACAACCGGCTGTTATATAAGTTAAGAAATGTCGGGATTGGAGGCAATCTATTTATGTGGATAAAAGACTTCTTAGTTGGGCGTCAACAAAGAGTTCGGGTAAACTTAAAGTTATCTAGCTGGGGGAACCGTGCTTAATGGAGTGCCCCAGGGTACAGTTTTGGGGCCAGTGCTATTTCTCTTGTTTGTAAATGACCTTCCTCGTCTCCTATCATCATCAGTCTTGCTATATGCTGACGATGTCAAGATATGGAGAACGATACAATGTGAGGGTGATAGCTTAGAACCCTAAAATGACCTGAAGAAATTATCTGAATGGTCTCAAACCTGGCAGTTGCCGATAAATACTTCCAAGTGTGTTGTGACGCATATCGGTCATCAAGGTACAGATACATACATGATGAATAACACTGGGCTACCTGTCGTCCAGACATATAATGACTTAGGGGTCATCGTTAGCCAAGACTTAAAGACTACTGCACACTGCCGTGCAATGGCCGCCAAAGGTTTTAGAACGTTATGGTCGATACGTAGGGCTTTTAGTCATGTCGACCCTAAGACGTTTTTGACTTTGTATACAGTGTTCGTACGTCCTAAACTTGAGTACTGCATGCAAGCGGCTAGCCCCTGTTTAAAAAAGACAGTGAGCTTCTGGAAAAGGTTCAGAGGACGGCAACTAAGCTGATTCCTGGAATAACAAAGCTTCTGTATGAAGCTCGACTGGCCAAGCTGACCCTTTCCCCGTTGTCATATCACAGAACTAGAGGCGACTTGATTGCAGTTTTCAAACTGCTTAGTGCCAAATTTGCACCTGATATGCCCCCATTTTTCTTGTCTTCCAAAACAGAATTTACGAGGACACTCCGAAAAAGTTCACAAGCCCAGAACAAATTACTTGTCAGCTGACTAACGACTTTCCCATCGAATCATCAACGAGTGGAACTCAATACCTCAGCACGTGGTTGAGGCTCCATCCGTCAACTCTTTCAAAAGAAAGTTGAACCAACTGAGAGACGACCATTGCCAGGACTAACACAGGCCATCAAGCATCTTGTCCTTTCTAAACTGAAACTGAATGTGAAACAATGTACACAGTTTAAGTAAGTCATTCAGGAAGCTGATAAAAAGCATACAGAAAAAATAAAACGAATACCTGAACCCATGTTTTTAAATTGCCAGTGTAGAATAGTTTCTTTCACCTTTGTTGTTTAAACCAACCAACAGGGAAATTTCATTACAGGTCCTATTATGAATGCGTCTCTATAAGAGCTGCTCGAAATGGATGATACAAAGATTATATACCACATAGATGACGAAGAGACCCCCTATTTAGTTAAAATTGCTGTATGTCCGAGCGCTGTTACCTTAGGGGACTTTAAAAATGCTCTAAACCGACCAAATTACAAGTTTTTCTTCAAATCAGTTGATGCTGATTTCGGGTGCGTTCCTTGTAAAGACTAATCGTTATGTTTCTTATAAAGAGTCGTGAAAGAAGAAATAGCGGATGATGATGCAAGACTACCATGTTTCAATGGAAAAGTCATTTCATGGGTATTCACTGTCATATATTTTCATGTTTGTCAGCTTGTTTCTGCAGATAGTAGTACAAAATCAGATAACCATTCAAACGGTGCAGGTGAAAACCACCTTTCCAGTCAAAATAAAAATTCTACAAAGTGAGTTTTGTTTAAAGTGAAGTTAAACATCAAACTACACGCAAACCTCTGGGTTTCGGGGAATTCTTGTCTTTCCCAAAGTCGTTTGAAAATTCGTAGTTTTCCAGAAAGTCTGGGGAAGCATTGATGAGAACCCTAATTTTCCACAAAGATCTTGCAGAGTTTTTCCGAATACTTCGAAATTTCGGGGTTTTTGCCACATTCCTTCAAGATTTCCCCGAAATCAGGAAATTGGGATGTTTGTTGTTAGCAGCAGGTGATATTTACTTATTGGAGTTCACTTCCTTCAATTAAAGGAACGAAGTTTCGTAGACTTACACTCCTGGTTCTAGCTCCTCTTTACTTTGAAGGTTCTTTGGGAATTGCCGAAGAAAAAGCTCGAGGGTCGAATTTTTTGTGTTAGACCGTATTATGTGTTTCTCTTTGCCTTAAGGGTATATTAGCAGCTAGAGGTTGCAAGACATTTGATGCAACGTCATGTTAATAGTAAACTGATTGGCTTAAATTTAATGTTGATTGAGTAATCAAACGAATCTTTTAGTAGTTCGATTTAACAGATATAGTTAAATCATGGAGTAGTTATGTACTGGTTTTGGTCCCAGCAAATATATCACCCTCCTGATGTACGGAAGTTTGATATCAGAGCATTGTATGCGAAGCATAAGCATTGCCAGCACTGATATGCTTATTATCTGCACAAAAAATTAGCTTGCCATCAACAAAGCCTAACAATTCAACTGTTATGTTTATCTTTGGTTAGAACGAATCCTCGAAATATTGACTTTTGTCTATGCTATATATATATATATATATATATATATATATATATATATATATATATATATATTACAAACTTTCTGGGAATAAATTTATATCACAATTAATGTTGCTTTGATAGCGATCATTATATTTGACACAGGTTGGCTAATTATTCTCACGAAAATTGTAGAACCGAAACTTGGGAGCACTACGTTTTACTGACGAAAATAAAGTGCTTTTATCAAATTTATAAGAACTCCCGTAGCATTTGCTCTTTAATATGAAAAAATAATATACTTTACACTTATGTTTGAATAGTATGTAGTTCACTGGGTCGCACACCAAACACGTGCACAAAGTTTTTAACGTTGGTACCCGGAAAATATAGAGATAGCTTTCCTACCTCACATATGTTACAGTCGTCGCTGTAAAATGTATACTGACTCTTAACAAGTCTTAATATTGTTTTATTTTCCTCTACTTACCGTTTTGTGGCTTGGACCATGCCTTAATCTATTTTCTACGTAATATTCTAAGTGGTAAACCGTGAGCTAATCAAAAGGAAATCATTAACGCGTTCCATTTTAAACTGCCCAAAGGACCTATTTTAATATGAGTTATTTTTTGCTGTTTTACTACATTGACTTGAGGTAATACAAAAGTGTTTGGTATTTCGACAAATGTATGTTTTGCATTGTTATCTCTTATAATAAAGAAATTATTCTATTTCAGCTTCAACAAAACTCCCGACAATATACACAGTGCCTCGAAAAATGAAATCCCCAGTGAACAAGAACATGCCATTGGGACAACAGGGCATGGTCTTGAGGAATGTGATACTTGTGTCGAGACAGACTCAGTGTATAGCGGTGGTTAGTGACGTAGAATTTCCAGTTTTGTTTAATTATAATTTTGTTGACATTTCATCTGTAATATTTATTTGCACTAGTTCTAGCAACTAGACTTTCGTTAAGTTGGTATCACTTAATTTATTGGTCAGGTGTATCACATCAAAAACCATTCAGCTAGGTTTCTTATCTTTATTCCTCTGTTTTCGATCGGGCCCTAGCCAAAATGGTGTTGACTCTTAAGAAAAAATGTACATTTCAGTATGCATTGCAAATGTATCTTCCAGGATAAGGCGCTGTGTGATACATGGACTGATGTGTAACCGTCGACACACCGAAATTTATTTCGTTTCCCTTGAAATACATCTTGTGATATCTTATCAAAAGTACATAATTTATTTCTGTTATCTAGTAAGTAGAAGTACGAACTTCTGTTTGAACTCCAAATACAGTAAAGGTTGAAATCAACCATGCTTTCTTATGTAAACCTGACTTCTGATAATTTACTACATGTTTAATAGGGGTAGTTCTCAATATTTCATGATATTTAGAACTGGTTGGTTTTGTAATCTAATTTAACAATAAGCTTAAGTGTTCATTAAATTTTTAAAGGTAATTTCCTGTAAATGTGTTTAAATCTGTCTTAAGTTTACTTTTATTTTTAATAGATCGGGTTCCTCCTCTGAAAAATTTTCATAATTACAAGCATGGTAAGCGATAAAATTTTAGCCCAGGTTGTAATATAAGTGCTTCTTAATTCGCTTTTTGTCCCACAGGAAACAGTCAGTGGTAAGCCACTAAGTTTATATCTCAAAATAATGAGAATCATCACTCCAGTTTTTGCCTACTGATCACTAAAACTAGTTCAGTTGGCCAAACTTCAGATTTTCTCTTAAATTTATGCAACTCATTAAAATGCCTAGGATCATGGATATTGGCTTACGTTAAGTCTAAATACGGATATAGCTTATTTGCGTGAATAGAACTGTTAGAAATTATGCCTCATGTTTTAATGTCATTTTGTCTTTAGGTCAGTTAACCACATAGCCTATATAGCCCTCATAGGACTCCCCAAATTCTAAGATATGGACATGTGGTCACATGGTAAGTTGCACATTCATTCATATCATTGGCTGTAAATAGTAAGCACATACTTTTGTTGAAAGAGTTATTTTAGTTGTCGACATATTATTAGGCGACTTCAAAAAGGTCTCAGGTTTCTTACCGGTCACACAACTGTTGTAATTTTGACATAGTACGTCTAATAGTCTGTATAAATGTATAATTGTTGAGCATAATCTCATTCCAGTTATATACATATTCATAAACTTAAAAGCTTTATAAATCTGTTGTGATATTTGGTATCCTTGAGACAATGCTTTATTTCTGAAAACTTCGTTTCTTCTCAGGTTCGCGCTTGGCTAAACTTGGTCAAAGAATCCAAAACTATGAAACATCTTCATCCATGATGAGTTCAGATCTGGAATCCACAAGCTTTTTCGATTCAGAAGACGAATCAAGCAGGTATGTCAGCTTAATTTAAAAGGGGTTAGGTTTTTTTACAAATAGAAACAACTTCACTAGATCTCCAGCTAAGCACTAAATACATCTTTGCGTTACGGTTGGAAAACATTTTCTGGGAAATTAATTCGGCTTAGGTTCCTGAACAAGCATCAAACTCCTGGCTAGTCTTATTATTATACATAATAGCAGTCACTTTCGGAAGATACATTTAATGTAGTGAAAGTTCTGAACTCAAGATGAAGATTGTTGTCGTTTATCATTCTTTGAGTTTTCCGGTTGTTTGGATTCCATCTAGTTTTTGTAAATATATGTGTGAAATCTTCCTTCATTACTGGGTACAGGTTTGTGCAATTGAGATCCTTTTTATTTGTTGGTTTGTTTGACCTTGATTTTCGTTGTTTTATACAGGAGAAATAGGTCTCGTTAGTGGTAATGGTTAGTCTGTCATTTATATAATGGCAGTTTATTCGGTCAAACAATCCTTATCTCTATTCAGTAGGTGGGATTTTTTAAGCAGCGTACATATTCCACAACTATGTATCTTTTGAAAGGCATCTCATCTAAATACTATGGTTTTTAAGGATTTGCGGTTTTTTGAATCCTCTTGTTATGTTTTTTTATATCATCCCCCCATAGAGATGGCGATTATAAACCTCTATGTACATTTAGATCAGTGACGCTAGTTGACTGCTAACTCAAAAGCTCATCGATGTCTCCGACAACTCGGTTAATCGGACTGATGGTGCAGCTGACTTATTGTTGGTTTTGTAATATATATTTATTTTTCTTACCTGCATCATTGTAACTTTTGTTTTTGGGTATATCTTCTAGCTGTCTCACTTTTTTTTATTACTTTCATATAAAATCTGCTAGGAGCTAATTGGATTATTCTAGATGTTCTTGATATGTTGAATAAATGATGGTTTTTCGGATGTTAACGTGACTTTTGCGTTTTCTATCGGTAATTAAATGACAGGGCTAACTGTAATACTCGTTAACCATGAATATTTCATTAATGTGGTTCATTTAACTCAATCGAAGTGACCATACAAGCCTTACATGACATTTTTATAAGCTATTGAGTTGTTACTATTGTGCCTCAGTTATGGTCTGCTTATGCTTTATCTTTGTATGTACTGAAGTTCATAAGTTTTCATCATGTGCTTTGTTAGAAAAGAGATTTAAGAACGCCATCACATCATAGTACTCTACTTCTGTGCATTTAATTGAGTTTAAAAAGTATGGCTGACATATTTCGATCAAAGCTTAGGTTCAGTACTTGCATTTATTATGAATTGTAGCACTCAAATCAATATTATATAGAATGGACGAAATGTGGCTAGGCGTGGAATCCAAAACTCCTGTTTCGTTCTACTTGAGACTTTTCAGATGGTCAAATTTCAGTCAAAAAATATCAAAAAGAGGATGATCTAAACCATTTAAAATCAAGTTGATACACATCAGTTGTTCTGTTACTGACATACCCATAGTATTTCGTTTATCCTTCATTTTCGAATCAAAAACTGCTTAGTTCTCTTAAATTTCGTATGTTTCTGAACATCATGATTGTCGTTCAGACTACCCGTTTTTTCTTTGGCTATATTATGAATCTCATAGTGTTCAAAAAGGCAGCTACATTACATGATATATTTTTACTGTCATCGTTTATTTGAGGTATTCTGTTACCAAAGCAAAATCTTTTAATTGACTGTATGGATTATTATCAACAACTGTGTATCTTGAGAGTTGCACACGATTCTTTCGATAAGTTGAATTGTAACATCTCCGTCTATGCTATTATTTTGACGCGGCGAAATATGTTTCCCATTCAATATTTGACCGTGATGCCTTGCTAGATTTACCCCACTTTTCTTCAATACACTAGTTTTTGTTTTAACTAACTTTTAATTTCCTCGATTCAGTTTAAATCTGACTATTTTGACGTTTGGCTAGATTTCTGCCTAATTCACCAATAAGTTCATAATTCATTAATTCTTGTCCTTTTTTGTCGTTTCTTGTTCTGTTCAAAGTGGCTGTTCTTTCCTTACCTGCCTCCTCTCAACACCAGTGATCTTACTATCCTTTGATGTAGGTTCGATAGTTTGAATATGATTGTAATGTAAATTACTGAAATTCCACCCTTTATAATATTAATTCTAAAAGTGGTATTATCAAGACATTAATATTATAAGCTACAAATATTCTTCATTAATTTTTCAATTTAAAATTAACGGCTTTTGAGAAGTGTTATTTAAAAATGTTTCCGAATTTATTTGGTAATTGTAGCGCAATACTTGTATTGTTTAGTGATTTATCAGTGTCAGTTTTGTCATATTTTAAGTTTTCGTTTTTGCTTTTTTTAACTTTTCTATGTAGATTTTCAACAGCAACAGGTACAACTATGTCTTCGGCTAAATATCCAAGACATAGAAGACAACGAAGACACAGACGAATTCTTCCAATAAGACGTACCAGTGAAGATGTAAGTTCCATAGTTTTATCATCGCAAGTTTATATTTGAACTGTATAGAAACAAAATAACAATTTCCTCACTTCAGTTTTACCTTTACACCGAACGTATCAGTCTTTATAATCTGAAAAACAACACTGTTCATTAAATTATTGCTAGATTTTTTTGATTAACCTAAGGTACTTTTTACTCACGCCATTCAGTAAGTAGTACCTTTTTAAGGTAAACAAAATGTTTAATAATTGTATCATTGAAAACCAACTACTCTTTGTTTATTGGTCTAGTTTATTCCCTTTTACAACTGTATACACCCCTTAGTTGAAGCTTACTTGAAAATATTCATCGAATGAGACTCAAGTACATTAACTATTAGTACGTAAATACGAAAATAAGAAAAATTAGAATTATCGCAAGTGAGGCTGATATAGGTATCTCTATATTACCAAAAAATGCAGGTAAATAATGAGCTTAAATTGATTTTGACAATCTGTCGATTCATGTGATTAATATCTTAAAACTATCTACAGTTTCTGTATGTCAGTGACAATCATCGTAATCATTCTCTTCCAAACCCTTTACGTTTTCACATTTCATTGTATAACAAAATCAATCAATAACAGAGTGGTATTGATATCATAAAGTCTTCTAATGTTAATTGATAGTTAATTAATTTGCCATGCAATACATATGCAGAAAATTGTTTACCATCATCATCATTATCATATTCAATTTTTTTTCTATCTGATGAATGAATGTATGTTTATAGATTGGCTGTCATCTCTGTCATTCCAAAAATATTTATCTCATTTCTACATGCATTTTTCTCTTGTATCTCTGCTGTATTCTACAGTTTTATTTTTCACTGATCAGAAATTTTTAAAAAAATGTCATAGAATTTGTTTTTTTTCCTATTGTCGAAACCTATTTTTATGTAGATCCATCGTCTACTACTGACATTTCAATAATATGTAAATATGTCATTCATTTGCATTCTGACATTTTCTATTTTTGATCAATAATCTTACAGTGTTCCATTTATGTATATATAAATGTATATACAATACAGACAGATTTGAAAGGTTTTAACACACTAAAAGCGTTTTTCTCTTGTATCTTGACTAAAGTGACTTCAATTAAGGTATATTTCATGTACATTAAATCATTACTATTGGTAAATAGAAATTATAATGAAAGATGAAATTAAAAAAAACAGTGATTGTGTACAGTAAATTTAAAACGAAGATGTTACAACTCAACTCAAGCTAACCACTCTTATGAATAACTAATATACCATTTAACATATATCTAAGTCATGAAGTCTATCTTCCAACTTAACTTATGTTAGGATTTATGTTTAGCGCGAGTGTCACTCCCATTATATTTCTTGGGTTTCCAAAAAAATGCTCCAATAAATAATTTTCCCTCAAGTATATTAGTTAAAAATCAAGTTTCTTCACTCTTCTACATACATTTTTACTACATATCAGCATTTATCTTTATCCGAATAAGACTGTGTATTCTTTCAAACTTTAACATATAACCAGTAACAATGTAAAATAGCTACTGTTTGAAATGAAAAAACCTCTACAGTCTCTATTCAACTGTACTGTAGCTGTTGTGTGTCCACATGAACGAGTTCTATGCATACACTCCTCTATCAATCTCAGTCTTTAATTTGGCGTCTTGTTTCGGCTTGCTTCCTATAGAATTACAAAATAATGTTTTTATTTTTAAAAAATTAAGTAAATGAATTACTGAATAATTATTTTACGCTAAAAATTGTGACCTCTAATAATGAACATAATAGCAACGGAAATATCAACTTCACAGTCGCGTATAATTGACTGGGCCTTCGCACATACACACTAGGCTGATTATCAAGTGAAAGAATAGAGTTTCCTTTTTTCTGATTTTTTAAATGACAGTGCACGATTTTTAATCATTTCGATAGAACTCTTATATGCTGAATATAGAAATATTTTTAAAAATATACTTTTAAAAGTTCTCGATGTATATTTCTTGTTGTTAGTATGGGAATTTGTGGAGATTGTAGTATTTTAACGGTTGAATTTACGAGTCGATCTGGACCAGACCACCATTGAAAACCTGGAAGCACTAGACGACCGAAGATCCTGGGTTCAAAATCCACGTGCGGGATCGTGGATGTGCACTAGTGAAGAGTCTTATACCAGGTTAAAAGGGCCTTCCAGTGCTTTCAGGTTTCCATTGGTGGTCTAGCTTAGATTAACTCGTGAATTCAATTATTTCTTGTTAGTTGCCAACTGTTTACTGATGATAATTCTACTTGGGATGAAATAACTGAGGATTTAACAAAAAAAACGTTGAGTGTTTTGTACTTTAAGTTATTCAAGTAACGGTTTGTATTAAATACCCTCAGAAATAGTTTACATGTCGCTCATTTTTCGCTTTAAAAATTGTGGCGGATACTTTTGTAAGCAGTTTATTCGGTTGTACGAAAATCATAGTCAAGTAAAACTGGATACTTTTTCGTAAATAATGACTCATATTTGTAAAAGTGCAATCGATTGAAGCTTGTAGGTAACAAATACCATATTTGTTACTTGCACTAAAATGGCATGGACCATTAAGTGTCTAGTATTAGAATATAAACTATAATCTGAATGTCTTATGTCCATAAATGTCTTATCTTTTTATTTCGATGAGTAATATCCTAGAGGACTTAGTAAAAACTATGGGACTTAAAATTTATTTGAGTTGTAGTTTTTGCATAGTTATTTATTGCTTTTCCCCATATCCATATGGTATGAGTAGTAGTTGTCATAGTATGATCGATCATTACTTTAGAATTGCTGACATTTTTATGTATAATAAACATATTATTGTAAGTATGCAAACAACTAAGAATGTATCAACCCAGAAATGACAGATTGAAAAAATGTTTGAGGCTTCACATTTTCGTTATTTATGTCTGCTCTATCACGTAATATATCCAGCTTCCGGGTGATTAATCTTACCAGATTTGTATCATTTACGTCTAGTTCTACATTTTTTTCCTTTGGGGAAGCTGTCTAGACGTTTTTTCTATGCTGATTTATGGATAGAATTTTATCCTATCGTGATGTCAACTGTTTTAAATAGAGAACCGGAGAGTCAAAATATTTGGTCACATCTATCTGTGTTTTTTTCTACTGGAAAGAGAATAACTAGATTTGCTGAGTAAACTAAATTCGGTTTCCTATTTTCTTAATTTTCACCGGGTACACAATATTTGAAATATCGATTTTCTAGAGTAATTCAGTAAAATGATACACCTTAGCTGTAAAAAAGATGAAATGATAATTCAGAAGTGTTTATGGATTAAATTGGTCGGGTTAGGAAATCCAGAAAGGAAAGCTACATGCAGTTACGGGTGTTGTGTTGTGCGTTATCTGATTCGGATACTCATATAGAGGCTTCCAATACACAACTCCAACTGGTTACTTGAATGAGAAGGAAACTCTACTGGCTTAACCAAATCGAGAGATATTTGTGCACTCATTCATTCATATATATATTTCAATGCTTTGGTTTCTCCATCTTGTTTAGGAAATATTTTAAGATTTCCTTCTGTTACTTGTTCGTTAAATGTAGTTGTACAACATTTTAATAATTATCCTGTATACTTATATTACTCACATGCCAAGGGTTAATTTCAGTCGATCATGCCCATCATAAGCTGAGAATGATGTTCAACATGTTTATTTATTATGTGTTTATAATTAATTTGATTTAATTCCCATCTATTGTCGTTTTTTCCCTAGATATTATGAGGATCAATTTCACGAAGCTCGGTTACATTATTTTTTTCTTTTCATTCAATTTAGGCTACTTCTTTTAGCAGTGTAACCGATTCCACAATGTCTCTCAATATAATTACCGTCACTTTGAATATGGATTCAGTGAATTTTCTTGGAATCAGTATTGTTGGTCAATCTAACAAAGCAGGAGATGGTGGTATCTACGTAGGATCTATTATGCGTGGTGGAGCTGTTGCACAAGATGGTCGAATAGAACCTGGAGATATGATACTAGAAGTAAATAGAATCAGCTTCGAAGATATGAGTAATGATGAGGCTGTAAGAGTTTTACGTGAGGAAGTTCAAAAGCCTGGGTAATTCACGGCATATTTACTATTTTTCCATTTATCTATTATTTATACTTATTTTCTCACCAAACGTTTAAAAGTAAACTTCAAGAGAATCATAATAAGGCAAATATCACAACAATGAATGACCGGCATAGTTTTCTTGTAGGAGTTAAATTTTTTTGCATCATAAACTGATATTTGGTGATTAACCACTTGCTAAGAAAATCATAGGTTATCCATTTTGTCAGCGCATGAAAATTTCTTTGTGATAACGATAACTACGAGTACAATTTTTCTAAATCATACTTTCGTTTTTTTCTGATTGGTTGTTACTACTTTCAGTATGCTCTAGGGTCATGCTTTTGTTACCCTATATATGCGGAATTTTGCTATTTTGTTCGCCTAACCATCACGTTTTCCGGTACTCTCACCTTCCTATATTCCTTCGTAATCGTGGATTATTGTTGAAGTATGGTGTATCAGCTGTCATTCTATGGAGTCCGCCATAGAATCTATTCGTAATAGAATAAACTCGATTCTAACGATCACCATTGGACCATATCAAACTTCAATCTCAAGATATAACACCACAAAAAGCCAAGTAGCATTTTATGTCAATGTTCAGGAAATTGGTAATATAGCGTAATCGTTTTTTCTGTCATTAGTACCACGCTGAATATAGTGAATTAGCTCTAAACCTGTCAGTCAAGTTAAATTTCATCTTGACCAAGTGGTATCGGCGTTTTGCATTCATAGAAGGAAACTTCAACTGATCGATCAAAGTTTACTTTATATAAGTGATTCATATAATTTACGTTTTACGTCTTTTTTGTCCTGTGTAGCAGTCCAGTTGTTGTGTTAGCTTTAACTAACCGCTCATACACAAATAATGGTGATCAGTTTACGTTTGCATACAAGGTTTTCTTCTATTCCTTCAGACACTGTATTTATTCTGTACCTACTGTGTAATTTACTTCGACTATATATATATCTTTTTCAAACACGATACTGTTAATACTATTGAATCATAGTTTGAGCTTAACTAGTTAGGACACGTAAAATGTTCTCCTTAATACATTAGATTTTTCTAAAATTTAACTTTAGTTACTATAAAAATGTGAAATATAGTTTCATCAGAAAGAGACAATAATCTAAATCAATGAACAATAAGTGCATACTGATGAGTGATTATGAGTAACAGTCATATTTAGAAGAAGAGTACAGTTTCCATTGATTAATAGTTAAATCAGGATAGGCCACAAGAATGGTGGGCGTTCAAACCAATATATAATTTGCCAGTTTAATTATAAACAATAATAAATCTTAAATCCTCGACGTTTTGTGATTGCAAAAACAACTCTAATGAAATTCTTTCTTGTAATTCAATAATCAAGGATCATATATTTGCCTTTGTGCGATATCTAGTAATATTGTGGGGGAAGGAGAACACAAATGAGGACAACCGTCTATATTTAGCACAAAATTACAGAGCAACTTGATAAAATAGAAAAACCAAACTCCAATAATTTATTTGTAGAATGTTCATTAATTGTCTCAGACTTCATTGTCCCTGCATTTCCATACCAATTGCTTTCTGTTCCCGTTCTTCCCTCCTCGATATTCTTAACCCTCTGCTGCCAAACATTCTATTTCTGACTAGCGTTATATACTACTTATGTAGACATAAGTAGCACACATCGCACTATTACTCAGTTGATCAAATGGGAATATGTAGGGGGGACTCGAAGCTGCAACTCAGCGGTTGAATTCCAAATAATTCATAAATCACTAAGCCATTGAATTCAATGGTTAATTATGGATTAAATTAGCACATAACAGGGACACTTACCAACCATGATCTTGGTGTGTCTTCCGGTATGACAAAGTATAAAATTATACCATTATCCCAGTACTATTGTGTTTTTATTTGTCAAGTGCTTGAGGAATCAAGCCTTTGAAAAAAATCTAGTTTGTTACAGTAAAACATAGACGAATTTATTCTATACACTTTTCCCATATATATTCAAGTTATGTATAACATAAAAATTAGAAACATTTTTTAAGTTGATACTTTTTATGTTCAGACCTTTAATATTATTAGTGACAGTTGAATAATTGAGTAGTTAAGTTACTGATATTAAGATAAACAAACTATTAATCTTAGCAATCAAATATATTTGATAATGTTACTGGTTTCAAAATGATTGTCCGATTAAAATCAGTTTATAATCTTGTGAACTATGAAAATTTTAATATTTTCACAAAACCTGTATATTAATAGTTACTGTAGCTCAAACAAAAGTCCCTTTTAACAACAAGGTTTAGTCAGCCAGTCAGCTACAACGTAGGACCAGACACATATATGCATCGGTTCAAGTTGCCACACCTCGTTAGCACAAAAAGATGAACACCAAATTCACAGTAGTTACTTCAATGGTAGTGATATATAAAACAACGAATGCATATAAGGATATAATACAAGAAGAAATAATTAGTTTGTAGAAAGAAAGGTATATAGTAATTTTAATCTCACGGTGTAAGGGAATACAAAGAGTGTATACACCTACGCCATTGTGATCGGTTATGAGCCATGTCACCAAGAGTCTGCAACCATTAGATAGTCATGCGGAACCCAACCAAGTAGTTTGTATCTACCAACATGGCTCAGACCATAAGTTAGTGACTTCAAGCACTGGTTCCACGTTTTGGTTTGGCCACTCCTAACTTTCTTCCTAAACCCCCAACACTAGTCAGCATTGCGCGTCGTGGTAATGGGTGTTGAAGCATACAACACGATTACGTAAATATTAATTTCTTTCCTTCAGATAACAATGATAACTTTACTTTTTTGTTTGTTGTTATTATTAATTACTACGTAATAAAATCAGTCGCAAGATTAATTCGTATTTAGGTTCTAACCGTTTGCACGAAACTGTGAACTTATAGTTTGCACCAAATGTATATACTTCACAGGTACAATAGTTTGGTCAATTTACTTTTATTCTATATAGGTTACGGATCCTAATCTTCACTTTTGTTTTATTTTAGGTAGCCTAGTAAGTTATAAGGAAGCCTCCCAATACGTTAAGGCTAAATACATAAGTATTTACTCTATATCAGAATTGCGTTGAGACTGATGAACTCATGGCTGAAAGTGGAAATATTCAGTGTTTAATGAAAGAAATATGATGTTATATATAGTCTTAAAGCTAATTAAAAATGACAGAGCTTAATCATCTTTAAATTTTATGAACATACTGTTTATTTATATGTATTCCAATTCTTAAAATTCTATATCGGGGTCATCCTTCCATTAAGAATTGTATTTACTTGTAAAATTTATCCAAAATGACAAGTCAGTTGGTAAGGTTGTAAGCCTGTACCGACTGGTTTGTTTACAAGGTGGTGTAGATATTCGTAGATTGGAAGAAAGAAAGTAGTCAAGAGAAAATAACATGACATCGACTCATTAGGTCTGCGACCATCGATCCAGGCTATGTGGGAGAGGGAGACAAAATATATGCTTGTAATTCACAAAATTGTCGTAACCTGTGGTTGGGAACCTTAGGTCATATACCCTAAAACCGGTTACGGTTCGCCATTTTCAGTCACGTTTTATCTTCAAAATATTAAGCTTAGAGTCATTTCACACTGTTATTTATTTTTAAATCTCACTTGTTGATTCTAAACTTGATTTATTATGATCAGGTTTCCACTATGTTTCTTGGATGTTATTGTTTCAAACCTGTTGAATACCTGCTACGCTACGTAAAACTAATGAACAAAATTACTCGTTATTTCGAATATAGAAGAACTACTTAATCTGAGGGTATTCATTTACTATAATAATGTTAAACGAATCTTAAAATATTAAACGTCTTTTCTTTAAATTTTTATATGTAAACGCATCTACAGAATACAGAATGTTTCCTTTTTTTAAAGCTTTGGAAATTCTCCTACCTGCATTTTACCATAGTAAATATTTATAAGCCTTCCTTGAGCAACGTTTTTCGTACCTAAGTAAGAAATGAATAAACAAGGATCATATATTTTACTGAAGAATCTAGCACTCTTAAATTTCTCTTCTAAGTGTTACACAATAAACTTTGGAAACTGATTATGAGCTATTGAAGTGTGTTAAATTCTTTTGTTTTTAGTAGTTTTGAGTTCTCTGATCAGTTAATAGGCTGTCTAGAACAACACTGAAAGCTCTACAATTAAAAAGGTTTGCTCGGAGAGCTTAATACTACCCAAAGCAATCACCTGAAGTACACACTCTCCCCATGTATCCATATGCTTCTACACTTTGTCAAATAATTTTAAGCTATTTTCATACACATAACTTTAGTATTCTTTTTTAGCTACCTTCTGGCGGTGTTTTCAGAAATCTGATCTATTTATGTGAATAAAATTCTTAAGTACCTCCTGTTTACAACTAAACAAATTAAAATATATTACTTTAATTTTTACTTCACAGTCCTATCACTTTAGTGGTGGCAAAATGTTGGGATCCCAGTCCAAAGAACTACTTCACAATTCCTCGTCAAGAACCAGTTCGCCCAATTGATCCTCGGGCTTGGGTCTTACATACAAATGCGATGACTGGAGCACTTGGAACACCTGGATTTGATGGAAATACACCTTTTTTTGGTTCAGGATCACCTGCTGCTGGAATGGCAATGATTCCTGGTGAGAAGTGTTCCCTTACTTTGTCTTGCATTAGCAGTATTTTGTTTCAGTGATTATTTTGTGTTTTCACGAATCGGTTTAGATTTGGTACACAAAAAAGTAAATCCCGTTCTTTTGATTTTGTGCAATTTAATCTTTTATCAAGTCACTCTGAAGGCGATGAATTTTTTTAGTTAGGGATACGAATATAGGCTATACAGCGATAACTGCAACTACCATACACAATAGCTCTACTTCAAAAGACCATTCTTGTTAGAAAGATTTGTCGGACAATGTCAAAGAAGATCGAATCTACATCCAAGCTGATCGAGCTATACATCATTCCGATGATTATCAATTGGAGAGTTTTATTAACTGAGTAATTGTTACTAAATAAAAAAATCATAGTAAAATAATCAGTACAGGAAAAATTCATTGGGAGTCAAACAACTAAATAAAACCGAGATTGCACTGAAACTCAGTGTATCAAAATTACAGAAATGAGTTAAAATTCACTGAATAAAAATCACCTTAAATAGATATACGAAATTATGGTTGCATTTCGTTCTCGTATGTTGAATCTGTGCATACAGTATCTCCAGCAATCGGACCCGAACCTCAACTAGTGAGAGAGTTGGTGACCAACCTCAAAATCGTGGATAAAAAAGCCAAGTAGAGATTAGTATCTTCCTCAGAAAATGGAAGATGGTCTCGCAATTTTGTGGATTGGTTGGAGTTAGACATAAACACCGTTGGATGTTGGCTCAGTTGTCTAGAGGTTGGGCGTTTGTGTGCAAGACCAAAGGTCCTGGGTTCAAATCCCGCGCGCGGGATCGCGGATGCGCACTACCGAGGAGTCCGATACTAGGACGAAACATCCGTCCAGTGCTTTCAGTGGTGGTCTAATGTTGATCGGTTCATGATCTCAATTAAAAAAATCATAATCTATGCGGTCACACTAATGAAATGATTACTGGCGACGACATTATATATTCTATATCGATAAATCAAATTATTGGCTACTAGTCTTGGAAAGTTAATAGCTGTTGCTTAAAAAGACATTAAAAGCCTCGCGATCAACCCGACACGGCATCGCTAAAATTCCTCTGCTGAGCTGCAAACCACCATCTCATTCCTGAGTTTACTAATTATTGGTCTATATTTCTATGGTAGGTGTTTATGTTCGAGTTCTCATGTTTTAATCTATTCATTTACCTTTTAGGCCATTTTATGGGTATGACTCCATCCTCTGGATTGTCCGTACCATCTATGCCTCCTGGTATGCCTCCTTTAATTTTACCACCTTCAATGGCTGGAATCAATGCAATACCTTCATCTAATATGACTACTAAATCATTACCAGAAGTTGCTGATGGTGATGGTTTAACTGGTGGGTATCATCGCAGTAGAGGTCCGGCAAGTAGTGGAGTTGTTGGTGGGCCAGGAAGTACGAAAACTAACGGTTCCCGATCAGGAGGTGAGACAACTGTCGATGCTAAAGGTACTCAGTCACTTCTGTCTGGTGCGAATGGCAAATCATCCACATCATTAACTGTAGCTTCTGATATGGCTTCTGTAGTTCATGATATGTTGATGTCTGATTCTGGTCTAGAAATACGTGATCGAACGTGGCTGAAAATAACCATCCCAAATGCTTTTATTGGTGCGTTCCATTCACTTATTTGTGACTTGTGTACACTTGTATTACATAGATTTATTTGTCTACCAATCAATACTTGCAAAGTTTGTGGATATTGGGAAATTTTTTTGGTGTCTCATTTGTATTCAAATCACCTGTGTTTTTCTATTTTTCATGACCCTTAACCTGAGGTAATATATTTCAGTAAAAATAAACCTGTATGTATAAATGGTTAATCTAAACTTTTAATCGCACCCCACATGGATGTTTGTTTGCAGGAAATAACTAGACAATTTGAAAATAGAACCTTCAGTCGTGTACGTTTCTCCCTATGTTTTTTGACTTATATGCTGTAACCTATTTCACATTAATACATCAAACCAATATTAGGATTGTTTGGTCTAGTTAGAAATTCCATAGTTGACTGTTAAGTATTCGTCACAGATTTATCTCAGTTGGGGTGGCAATGAAAACCAAGGAGCACTGGACAGCTTTTAGTACGGGACTCCTTAATAGCTCATATTCATAGTCACGCCCCGGACCAAGGCCTTCAGGTCTCTGGACGAACGCTGAGCCAATATTTAGTGACTTATTTAAAAGTTTTGTGTCCGAAATAGTGAGATTTTGGAAAAGTTTTTATCAGAGACGTGTAAATAAAGTTGTTTCAAACCTGTCTTAAAAGTACTCACGTCTCTTTTTTCACATTATTTTCATCGACACTTATAAATAAAAATGAGTAATTTTTATTTATTTATTTATTTCGTAAAGTTGTTAAATCAAATCCTTCACTAACTCCCTCTTATTTATAACCTACTTTGCCAGTTTACTACAAAAGTATATATATATATATATATATATATATATATATATGACAGTTATACAGAATTGATTGAAACTTGTCTACTAAAGCGTTACTTTTAAGGACCAAAAATATATAAAATTATTATTATTATTATCATCTAATGCACTAATCTGTCTAATCTAGTAGAAACAGAGAACACAAATAAACGAAAGTATACGCCCTCCCGCCCCTATTTGATTAAAGACTAATAATATCCAGTCGAAAAAAAGTATTTTTTAAATCTTTAATTTGTTGTATTTCGTTTTTTCGATTAAATCAATCATTGTGTTTATGTAGTCAGTATTAATATTTTGTTTCTCTTTTTTACTTTTCATCCAGAAATATAAATTGTCTCGCTTGTAGATATTCTTGATTATTATAAATTTAAGGAGAGTAATAATGGTTTAGAATCGTTTTTCAATTATTACATATCAATATATTTATTGGGCGAATCGTTCACATTTCTAATGTGGAGTTTTTCGTTAATAATTCTTCAGATATGTATTAGTTATCGATTGCTCTAATTGTTTATTAAGTCTACGGTTAACATATTTTTTTTCGCTAGGGATTAACATAAATGTGAAGTTTCTAGAAAACTTGCTATCAATCATCTTGCTCACTTTTGTTCATTTTTCATAGTCCCCCTCCCCCATCGAAATACAATTCAACACGTTTTTGACATAAATATTATAATATCATAAATTACATGCCAGTTAATTAATGTGTATAAAGTGGCGAAAAGAAGCTCGACTCGTTATAACTTCCGTATAAAAATTTAACTTTGGTGTCAAAATGGTACTCAGGAAAAACATAAGTATATTGATATATATATATACATAAATGATATCTGTAAATAGTAAACATACTTTCAGGGATGTAGTAATATAAAAACTAATTTTCACTTAACCTTTATGATATAGAAGAAGCAAACATAAAATCTAGCATATAAAATCTGTATTCTTTGAAGTTGAAAGGGTTTGGATTATCACCACAACATTTCTAAAATTGTTATACAAACTGCAGGAAAAAAAGTAAAAGAAAATAAGAGGTTACATCTAAAGATATTCGAATATGTGGTGTTCAAAGAATGAATTGATTTTCACCACTACTGTCAGCCTTCAGTGTTGTCGTTCAAAGCTTAGTATCATAAACTTTTAGTATTATAAACTTTTCGATGTTCTTCTAACACAATCTTACGTCAGCCAATAAAGTGTTGAAAGTCCTCGAGAATCTGTAGGAAAAGTTTTTAGAAACCAGGGAAATTCTGAAAACTGTATCATTCGACCAGCGTTCAATGGGACCTTATAAGAGACCCCTAGATAAAAGACATGTCACACCCTTACTAGATCAATATCTATTATAAAACTAAATTCAGTGGTTTCTAGAAATTTTCAAAATTTCAAAAACATTTATAAACATCCTTGTTTTCTGCATGTAAACTAAACTGAAGCCAAACTTCTCATACTTCCCACCTCTCAATCATTTGGAGCTCAAGTGTAAGAAAGCCACTGTTAAACGTCTCACAAAACTCACTGATTTAGTCGATAACAATGCATAACACACAAGTGCTTACTATCTCCCATTGATTAAAGATTCATAGCTCCATCAAGAAACCTAACACATTCACATGATACCCTTTATCTAGCAATTATTACAATTAATTATTTCCTATATTGGTAACATTAATTTTTAGGTAATATTTTTTTAAAACAATCATAGACCCCAATTCAAATATGCTAATTCCTTGTTTATAATTTAACACGGTATCTTCTCTATGAGAAAAATAATATTTTAAATAATTTCACTTCATTATTACTACAATTTTCATAATTAATACAGTATTGCATCATTTTTCTTCACTCTTTTAAAAGAAAGTTAACGTTTACTACTTTTGACATCATAATAATATCTTAACGCTTCATTCTATTTTAGCATTGTTTATTTTTTACTTTTTCTTTACAACTCTTGTGTTGTTTTATTTGTATCCAAAGAGCAACTGTTTTTGTTTTCGTCCAAAAATATTTTGCATCATCTATTATATAAGTTCAAAAAGTTGTCGTTACCTGTCGAAATTTGAAATTGTTGAAAACAAAAATATAAATGCTTCCAGTCAATGTTCACATTCTCACCATTATGAATAATAACGTACATGATTATCATATTACATAATACGTCTATATACTTTTTCATGTATTTCCTTATTTCTTTGAATATGGAATTTTGTTTCCTTTTCAATTGACCGTTTGACAACTTGTAACTAAAATGAACGAGTTTTTTTTATTTCTCTTCCAACTTCTATAACATAATATTATAAACGTTTTAAACAGTATAGTTCAACGTACTTGATATCTCTGTAGATATATGTATCGTTCATTATATTTCACTGCAAAGATCAGTGTAGTACTAATGACGTTGTTTAATGAGCTTACCTATTTTACATTCGTTTTTCTTACACATTAATAAACTGACATTAATATTATTATTCTATCGTTACCAGTATTAGCTGTAGTACACCGGGTTGATTGACAGTTATCTTTTGTCGTTGTTATTATTACTATTATTATCTTCCAAATATAGTTTCTTTGTTTGCTGCACTTTCTCACGTTTATACTTCCCAGTCACATTTGTCTTTATTTTTGTTATACAATCCAATTGAATGATGATATTGTTGATGATAACCTGCTGTGTTTTGTGCTTCACTCTTTTTGTATATTGTTATTGCATTTTATGAAGACCTTAATCGATTGATAAATATATATTCATATTAACTTTTTACTGTGTTACTGTTTCTAAAATGATTGTCATACTAGATTAATTCGATACGACTTTTTCCTTTTTTAATTCCTAAGAAAAACAAACTATTTTTATTTGAGCTTTTATATTGACTGATTTCTCTAACTCAGTAATCGGGGATACCATTGTAAAGCTTTATTCAGAAGTCATAGTAATGGTTTGCCATTTCATGTTGTCATGTTTCTCTATGTTACAATTAAAAGAGAGTCAACAAATAACATAAAATAAAACGAAACTTAATAATGTGGTAATAAGATATCCTATATGTGTTGTTTGGTCCAGACTACTTGATTAGGATTCGCGCGATTATTATAATCAGTGATTAATGATGTTGAATGATACAATGGCTCATAATCTGTTGCTGTGGGGCAGATGCGGTCACTCTTAGTCTTCCTTAAGATCTTGAGTCCTAAAAGGATTTTCAAATTTCTATCCCACAAATTCTTTCTTCTTAAATCATATTGTCTATCCCTAATGTTCTTTAATATTACTGATATTGTTACCACTTCTAATATTTTGATATTTATCTTGGTGATTGCATTTCTCTATGCTGCTATGATATACTAACTTGAACCAACGTACATATGTGCCTGGTTTTTCTCTGGTTATGACTGACTGACTGGTTTGATAGACTAAATATATCTTCACCAGTCACATTTAATGTAAACAATTTCTTGAAATCTGTGTCACTTAAATTGATCACCTAGAAAATGTTATTTGATGCTAATTTAAGATGTTTCTGTGATTACTGCGCTTGTTTTTTTTCGAAAAATTGGTGAGTGGTACAAACTGCGTTTAGTTCTCTAGTTACATCCTGCCTTGTTTTACTGTGAATTTGGCATTTTATGTCATACCGAAATATAAAACCTCAAGCACTTTCCGTTTTTTTCTTCGCATAATTGGTACTCGTTTTCGATAAACGGTTTTCATGTTGAAATTTCCATAATTCTTGAAGTTTGACTATCAGTGATTTCTTTCAGTTTTTGTTATGTGGTCGAGCCAATAAAAACTTCGTTGTTAGAAATACTGAGTTTACAAATACCTAACTTTTTTCTTAGTTTTTGCACCATTTTCATTTACCTACTGTTTTCATTACTTTATAGGCTCTGAATTAGTTGATTGGTTATTCACACATGTAGATGGTTTTGCAGATCGGCGAGATGCTCGGAGGTATGCATCCAACCTACTGCATTATGGTTATATTTGTCATACCGTTAATAAGAGTACATTTTCCGAACAATGTTACTATACTTTTGGAGATATAGCCACAAGTAAGTTTGTTTGCCTGCTTGAATATTCCTATTTATAAACATCTTTCAATAACTGAGTTTAATAATATTTAATTTTTTCACTTTTTTCTTCAGCGTTGTCTCATCTTAATTTAGACGAAGTAGATTCAGTTTCTGAAATCGGTGCTAATTCTTCATCTCATACTGGTACTCATCCTATGATGCCTCAAATGTATCCTCACGTCCACCATGTGCTTCCTGATGCTCCTGGTGGTGGTTCAGCTACAGGTCTATCATCAGTACAAAATCAAAATGCTCCATCTAATCCTAATCTAGGTTTAATGTCATCTCCTATACCTGGTGAAGGGAATTCACTTGCTCAAACCAACTCTCATTATCCCTACCCACCTGTACTTTATCCTATTCCATCAACAGCTCCTGTGTCTTCATCTGGTCCTTGTAATGTTGATGCGAATGGAAATGACTGTAGTTTTGTTAACCCAAACTCATCTGCTCTTTCTGGTCTTAGAAATAGAATGTCAAATAACGGGTAAGTTTAAAATGACTTTTTGTTCCGTGATGTTTTTTTACACCAGACTATATTGTCAATTTAGTGTTTGATTCTTTTTATTTGAGATGTCTCATACCTTTTTATTCCTAGACTTCTTCAAGATTAAAATGTTGCGACAAACGGCGTTAATTTAGTTATGGGAATCTGTTGCCAGTTTACTTTGTGTATCTTTCATATCTTCCATATGTTCTTAATCTTCTATAAATAACTTGCATTGAAATCCAAGTATTTAATGGATTCGTATATTTTTAGATGTTTTTTCCTGTTTTTTTCAAACGTTAACCTACGTCTTAGTTGTTCAATTTTTATGTTTGGAGATATGTTTTTCTTTTTACTTGCCTTTTTTTTAGTTATATACGTCCTCAGTAGTTCTGTTTCATCTATTATTTTTAGTCAAATGGGTGTGGATTCTGCCATGTATCCGGTAAATACCACTACCATGGCTCCTCATACACGTTCTGTTATTCCTAATCAGACACATGTTACTACTATGAATGCTACATCAAATCAAAAGATACAACAGCAGAAAGTAAACAACTCTTCCTCGTCTAGTTCATCTCGTTCTTCTGCATCTTCAACATCTTCCTCTTCTACCGGTTATTCTGGTAACAGACGTCCAGCTGGTCTATCGGCTAATACTACTACTCAAACACTTAACACCAATGTTCCTCAAAGTATGATCACACCACTAGATACCTCAGCTTCTAAAGGCCTTCCTTCCTTAAATAAGGGTATTCAACGACGCACTGATCCATCAAGTGTACAAAGTCTTTCCGGTTAGTTTTTATTTCAAAATTATGAGACTGAGAGTTCACATGTTCATGCATGAGGCTGGTGTGTTTTTGCAATAACCGTGTATTTCAAATATATATGTATACTTCAAACACCAGTTATCTATAATGAATGTTCGGATCTAATTTCTGTCTGAGTTGGCTTTTTGGTTGACAAACATAAATAACAAGCTGATTATTTCCATCCATGCAAAAATATGTGTTAATTCTCATTGATGGTGAGATTTATTTCCGAAGTTTAAACTTGACAAACAAAAATTCAACTCATTCATGAAATGATTAAATATTTAACACTATTTTAGTTGCATGCAATGATAAATTACATAATTGACTATAAATACTTAAGAGTACTAAAGGATAACAATAGTATATTAGTAGTTGTATTAGCAATAGCAAACAATGTATCATCTTTCTGTGTACTAGTAAATGTATCAATGAATCAGTCCTTTTTCTGTGCCCATCTGAAGAAAAATAAGTTTTATCTTATTGATGCTAATTATTTCATAGTATAATTGAAATGTGAATGTTTCTCCTACTCTCTCTCTCTTTGCGTGTGTGTATGTTAGCTACTGAGGTGTCTATAACTCATATATTGTTTATCATAATCCTCATACAAAATACTTGCTCGCTTTTAATCAGTTCTTTTGTAAACTCCATCACTACTACTATAATCAGACTTCTACTTCAATTAATTTATTTCTTTGTTTTTTTCTGACCCAAATTGCCGTTTTAAAGAATTTAGTAGTGTCATCTCAAAATAATTCTATCACAGTGTCGTTGTATGTTTGTATATGCTTTTTGTACTAATCGTTCATAAATAATAATTTCAGTGCCTTGGGGATTTCAGCACCTAATGTGTTACTATTAGGTTCCAAGTAGGAATTCCATCATATATTTCACTCGCTTTGGTCAATCAGAGAATATCACCAAGCTTGAAACATACAAATAAAGTTTAGCTTAGAAACTAAATGTATAAGCTTGACTATAAAAGAAAATATCCTACAGATTTGATCTCCTTTCTTTCTCGTAACTTTTATGGTTGTACCGTTAACAATAGTTATTAATTTGTTTTAGCCTTGCAATAATTAATTTATAAATTTCAATTTAACATAACAAGTTAGATTATTGTAATGGGATACTGGTTTGATTTTTTCTAGATATAAAGTGATTGATCTAAAAGGTGATCACATGAAATGAATTATTTTTCACTAATTAAGTAAACTTGTCATCTCTATCTATACTTTTTTTAAGTCAAGTAATTTTTACCTCTAAATTGATAGTATAAGTGTAGTGGTTGCCTAATAGGTAGTAAAATAAATTAGTTGACCGTCAATTATTGAGTCACAGGTCTGATGAACACATCCGTTTTCTATCTTCTTTGGTTTCAGCAAGTCAATAGTATTAATATTCCTTATGATAAATAAAATGGCATAAATTCGAGCACTATAACTGTGTACTACTTGCTAAATAAGTTACAATAAACAGATAATTAAACATTCAGGTTAGATATCAACTTCAGAATAGTTGACACTTAAGTAATAACCTGCAGAAGTCTTTTCTCTGATTTGAAACAATTTGTTAGTATGAATTTACAAGCCCTATCTATAAAACTTTAATTTTAGCTTTATAAATGTTTGATTGCGTTCTATTTCAGTTAATAATTTTACTTTCAAGTAATTTGTGCTATCAAAGTATTGATTAGTCTTCAATATAATCTATTAAGATTCACTGCTATCGCAGGTTACAAATGCACATTATATCTCAGTAAATTTTTTAAAAAGTTCTATGAAAATTATCCCAAGATTAAAACCAATGATCAGCAGCACATTAATTAATTCCACTGAACTGGAAAATAATGTGAATTGAGTATCTGCATTAATTTGTAACACGATACAATTTCATAAAGAATCTCTTATTCATTTACAGTGGAGTGGTAACTTAGGGGTTCTAGCACTTGGTTTTCAACAAATAGGTCAGAAAGTTCGAACCCTGTTTCAGTTATTTCGGTTTGGCTGACGTGGAGCGTATCGTTAGCTGTCATACAAATAAAGTGTAACCCATAACTCAATACATAAAATCTTCACACAATACATGGATTAATCAATCTACGGAAAGAACAATTAAGATTTTTCTTCTCTCTCTCTCTTAAACATTGTTTTATCCTTAATATTAGCCATGACAATTGTGTAATTCATATTGAATCTTTACCATTCATTGATTGATTTACTCACTAGCCTTTTTCAATTTTTGTTCTTTCATTTCTTTTTTTGTTTTACCTCGGCAAAACAACAACAAAATGTGGACTACTTTCTAAATGAATGTACAAAATGTGGTGTTATACACATATGCGTGTATGTTTGTGTGCTTGCACCGCTTGCTTGTGTTTACAAATACGATTTTTTAAAATTTTATTTCTTTGTAATTACTTGTCTCCTGATTTGTTTGGGTATCATGATATTCTTGCTTTTACTATTTATCTTCGATTCGGATTATTATTATGTTTATCATGAATATAATTACTACCTGTATTGTATATGCACATATGTGTATATATGTATGTTTTTACATCATTATTGTTGTACAATACCCTAATTCTAAGTCCCGGTTACTCTGGTCATGTAATAATGATAATAATGATAAATTATATTTATCCTAATACTAATTCATTGTTTAAACCTTGAATCGTAATTATCATTGTGGATAATCATGTGTTAACTGTTGTGTACACTGAACACACTGAACCTGGAAATCCTTCATCTCAAAATCAACTGACCCAATCAAATTTTGTTGGAAATGCAATATACCCATTCACTGACTTTCGATTTATATGTATATATGTGTGTGTTTAGTCTCATCTCATCCATGTTTTTGTATGCCATTCATCCGAAAAACTCTTAATTCATCATCGCATGCTAATAATAATAATATTAATAATGCATGTAAAAAATTAGATACACAACAGAAGCAACAAGAAGAAGAACAACAACCATGTCAAACTAAAAATGTTGTGCATGATCGCCATTCTGATCTGCATGAACTAGATTCCGCAAAAAAATCATTAATATTGTTATCCGATGAGAATGTCAATAATAATAATTATAAGATAGTTGATAATCTATCATCAGTTGCCATTACTAATTCTACCATATCTACTACTCCTACAAATGATAATCGACGTAATTCATACTCAGTGAAATCATTAAACCAACAAATAACGAATAATGTTATTGATAATGACCGAACAACAACAATAACCACTACTAGTGAATGTTACAGTAATAATAAAGAAATAGATCATAATGACAGTGATAATAATAATCAATTATTTTTTTTGGCAAAACATGACAGTATCATTAATAATGATTTCAGTACTGAACATTTATCATTCATGGAAGATAAAATACATGAATCAGGTTTGATATCGTGCATACATATAAGTACATTATTATAGATTATTACTACTAATTCAGTTATATGATTTGACTAGCTTTAGGGTGTATATAGTCTGTTTTGTACTATAGATAAATAATCTCAAAAAATAGGCAAGTATAATGCACACTCACTGTATAATCACTTACTATTATTACTATTACTATTATTATTAATATCGTCTAGTTCTTACAATAAATCAAGTATATTTTTTGGTTATTTCTTCACATATCAAACACAATAATTTTTGGTACATTAAACTAATGGTAATTTACTGCACTTTTCTTTTAACAGCTCATGGTTTATGCTAGAAGACATCATCTATTTGTGTTTTTTTCCTTTACTAATTGCAACCATAGTTCCACTTATGATATATACATATATATGTTTTTTCTGTGTGTAATATGTTTAACAGTTTAATTCTCCAATTGGATACTCCTACGCTTCTAACACGCTTTTTTTCATTACTTTCAATTTTAGGCACAAGCAGTACTAGTTCTGCAAGTCGCCAAAATGGAACTGGGGCAAGTGCTGCTGGGAGTGGTAGCGGCAGTGCCGTAACTACACATGTACTCAAAAAATTTAACACGAATAATAATGGTAATAATAATAACAGTGTATCTAATAAATCCGAATTTCTTGACAATGTTCAACGTACACAGCATGGTATGGATTTTAACAATGCATTTCGTCAAACTAACTGCAATTTAGTCAAAGATTCAAACAATAAACCAGAACTCAATCAATCATTTAATCATACAATGACAACTGGTGGAAGTAACCTTACCACTGGTGGAATTCACAATAATCAGAGATGAAGTAGTCTATGCGTTCATTCATTCGTATACATAAACTGACAGATTACTCTTTCTATAAATTGGTAATTATTTTATTTTATTTACTTATTACATAATACTTATTTATGATGTTTATTTATGCACCACCACATTAGCTTCATGTGGATTTCAAATGATATTATTTGTGTTAATTAAACATTTGTGTGTATAAAATTTCCTGGAAGTTTATCATCCCTAAATTAACTGGACAATCACTAGTATTCTGTTGAAAGTAGACAATAAGATATGAATTAACACAGTCCATTGATTTGTTTATGTTCAGAATTTGGTTTTAAAAAATATTGGAAGTGATTGGAGATCCTGTTTTGACGTTCGTATTGAAGATTCTCATTTTGACATTGGCTGACAGCTATTTCGAGTAGTAGATGTTCTTCAACTGTAGGAATGCTATCCTCGCTTTTCCAATCATCGCCTTTACGTCTGGATCAGTTCCTTGTTTATCAATAATGCTTCTCAGATACTTGAAAGTTTCTATCAGTTGCAGGGCTTCTGCATCAAATGTGATTGAGTTGGTGTTCTGTGTTTTGTATTTGAGGATCATGATTTTGGCTTTATGTATGTTGATGCCTAGTGATTCAGAGGATTCTGCTACACTGGCTGTCCTGACCGGTATTCGTTGATGTGTATGGGATAGAATGGTCAGTTCATCTATCAAGTCCAAATGGTCTAGTTGCATTCAACCTGTCCATTTTATTCCGTTCTTCCCGTCAGATGTGGAGGTTTTCATAATCCAGTGTACCACCAAAAAAAAGAAAAAGGGTGACAGTAAGCAGCTTTGTCTGACTCCGGTTCTTACTTGGGATGCATCTGTCTGCTGTCCTCCATGCACGACGTTGCTGTGTGATCCGTCGTATGAATTCTGGATGATGGTGATTTTCTCAGGTACGGCATAAGGTGGATGAAGTTTCCATAATGTTCTCCCACCCACACTGTCAAATGCTTTCTGATAGTCAAATAAGTTGATGTATAGTGACGAGTTCCATTCAATTGATTGTTCAACGATGATCCGTAATGTGGCGATCTGGACCGTGCATGACCAATCATTACAGAATCCAGTCTGTTGATCTCGAAGTTGGGCATCTACTAAATCCTTTATCCGGTTCAGCAACATTGTTGAAGACCTTCCCTGGTACTTACAGTAGTGTGATGCCTGTGTAATTTTCACTCTTGCTCATTTTTCCTGTCTTTGGAATCTTGATGAGATATTCTGCTTTTCAGCCTTTCGACACTTATTCTTCCTCCGAAATCTTTTTGAGTAGAACGTGAAGCATGTTTGCAAACGACTATATGTCTGACTTTAATGCTTCGGCTGTTATGTTGTCAGGTATTTCGATAGAGATCCATTCCTTATGGCGATGACTCTTGACGCCCAGAACTCCTTGCCACGTTAAAGTTAATGCTTCTTTGATCCCGTTCCAATTGTTCTCCTTAGTGTTCCCCTCACCTTTGAGTAATTCTTGTAAGCCTTGGAACCTGTTGTTGAGAGTTATCTTGAATTGGTTGAGTTAATCAGTATATCGAAGGACGGTTGTATTGAACATTTGTAATCCTGTTTCCCCAGTTGTCCAGTGCTTCTTTAGCTTCAGTTTCACCTCGGCAACCAGCAGGTAGTGATCTGAAGTTATGTCAGCTCCTCTCCTCGTTCTCACATCCTCCATTGACCTTGTGGATTTTTTACTGATGCAAATATGATCTATCTAGTTCCCAATGTAGTGGTCCGGTGAGACCCATATAACTGTGTATGCTTTTGTCTACGAAAATTGTGACACCTGTAACCAATTCGTTGAATGCACATAGATTTGCAAGTCTCTTGCCACTCTCGTTCCTTTCTCTCAGTCAGTTAATGTCGTCCCATGATATCTTCATAACCGCTGTTGTCCATTCCGAATTTGGTGTTTAGATCTCTCATCAGAATGGTTAGGTCCTTTATTGGGCACTTCGCTATGATCGATTGCAGCCTATGGTCGTCGTTGCTATCATTGGTGGGTGCATAACACTGGATAGCATTCATTGTAATTCCCTCCTTCCTTGTTCTGAATGATGCTTTGATTATTCTGGATCCGTGAGATTCTCATCCTACAAGTGTATTTCGTGCTTGTTTGAACAGCATCAGAGCAATTGCCTGAGTGTGTGGAGCATTTTCCTCTTCGTGACCGGAATAGAGCGGCATCTCTCCCGTACCTAACCTTTGATGTCCAGTTTGAGTCCAATGGGTTTCACAAATTCCGAGTACTGCCAATTTGTATCTCCTTATTTTCGTAGGTATTTGACTGATATTGCCGGTCTCCTACATGTTGTGGATGTTCCATGTAACTATGAGAATTACTGCTCTGGTTGTTAGAAGGGGCATCGACCTCGTGACTTCCGAAGAATCTTGGCTTTCATCATGAGGCGTCATAATTCTTCCTTCATCTCCGTGAACACGGTTTAAATGGTTTGAATTGTATATTCTGGTTAGTGTTTTTTACCAAGATTGTTTTCTACGGATGGGGTTGCCGACCTCATGCCCAACCCTCCTCCTTTGTGTGGGCTTGAGACCGGTAGTAACTCTATAAGTGCTACAGACGGAGTTAGAACTTAAATTGAAGTACCTTAAATCACTGATTTGATATGTCCCAATAGTTATGGTTAGTTATTAATATTATTTAGGCTCCCTTTTGAATGGTTTACTATTATCGTCTTTTGATGGAAAAGTACTTTTAAGAAATTTATTTATTTATTTTACATTTACGTATCTATGTAGATTATGACATTCAACATGTGTTTGAAATCGCAATTACAGTGTAAAACATTTATTATAGTACAATATACAACTTCTTTATTTTGGTTTATTCTTTTTTGCAGATATAGTATTACATTAATTTGCTATGTAAGATTTCAGACTAGTTAATATTATAACTCTTTAGTTTTTCATCAAAAGGTTTTTTTACTTAAATTCCAAATGATAAGAAAAATTTGTAAATCTACGATAAATATGTAATTTTTTTACCACAAAATGAATTCGTTTAGTGATTACTGGGTGTTGATGATCAAATAATAAAGCTCAAATGGCCGCAAACTGTTACTCAGTTCAGATATAAGGAAAAAATCATTAGATATGCCGTACTCTCATACTCGTAATCTCTTTGCTCACGTTCATCATATTAATTCAATAGGACTCTGATCTACTATTGATCGATCACTTAGTGGTGTCTTATTTCATGTTCGTCTAAAGAGGTCGTTACACAGTAATCAATTGATTGCAAATATCTCGGTTCTACAGTAGGCAAGTCGTCGCTCAACTAGCTCAGTGAGAACACTTCAGACTGAAGCGGGGTTAAATATGGAATATGAATCCGCAGGAAGCACCAGTTCGCTAAAGATTACAGGTACACCAAATAACACGAAACCTTGATTTAGGGTTTCATATCGACTACTTTCAACCACCCAACCTAATATATACGAACTTCTACTATTACTATCATTGCTACTACTACTTATTATTGTCATTATTATTAAGATTATAAAATCCAACTTTATTATGAAAACTTTAGACATTTATCATTCAGAGTAGTTTTCTTTATTGTTTTTTTCTTATTTCTTGTAGCAAATTAAAGACCTTCAGTTTGCCGATTAATGGCATAATCATTTGTGGATCTGTTTAATTTTCTTCTATCTGAAAATCCGACAAAGAATAAAATGTTACAGTGGAAAAGACATTCATCTTATTATTTTCAAACGATTTGCTTTATATATATATATATATATATATATATATATATATATATATATATATATATATATATGAATTACATAACAAGATGACAATACATATGTATATAAATATGCATATGTCCGTATGTATTATTCTTCACACTTTCACCCGGTCTTTCTTTATATAATATTGTTTTGAGTTGTTTTTGTTTAGTATGCGATATTTTTTTCTCTCACATTCACTTATTTATCTGTTTCACTTCTTTAGTAACTTTTCTCATGTCACAAATGTAAACTTTATTTATTCATTGTGTGTACACTGACCTATTCAGCGTATACGGAGAGTTGTCTTTGCTCTGTCGTTGATATGAATATTGTTTTTAATGGAACTTGTATACGTTATGAGAAATCCATTCACAGTTCCTACTTTCAAACGATTTATTTGCTTTACTATATTGTCCCACTTCAATCGTTTCTCTAGGTTACACCTTGTTATATCAATCTTAACTACATATGGAAAGCGTGTGATGGATGGATTGGAGTCTATCTTATTTTAATTTTCTTTATCCGAAAATTAGAGGAAACTCACCGTATTCAGATATTTTTAGTCCTATATTGCTTTTTGTTTTTTCTCTGTGGAGATATTCGTGGTTGCTATGACTCGTTAAATCTAATGACTAATCTTTGTTTTGAAGATAAACAGTTACGTAGCAAACTCATTATATGTTCATCGTAAAATGGCATTTTCTTCCTCTTTAATCGCTGACATATGAACATAAAAGACAATTTACTATGATATAAATCTATTCGTCTTTTTACCTGATGTGTGATATAAACATTTGTTTCAAATCTTAAAGCGCCCCATCCTCGTTCATGTATTCATGTATTTTTATTCTGTTCCCTTTCTTATCTTTCTCCCCACCCATAAATAATCTATTTATCGTTTTTGATTTCACTCTCCCTATTTTTTCCTGTATTTGAATCTCTAACTTGAGAAAATATTGATTCTATGCATAGAGTGTGATTTTTCGATCTTAATTAATCCAGAGCGTATTTCGCTATTGTAATTTTCAATCGAATCTTCCTTTTTTTCATTCACTCAGTGCTGGAAATGCTTCCATTTAATTCTTTTTTTGTTTTATGATTTATTCTTTTTTTTATTGTGAACTTATCTATCTGAGTTTTCTCAAATAGATATTTTGCTCTGAACTATTATGCATACATGCATATGATTAAGTAGTTTAATTCATCATATTTAGTTCTTTCTCATTTTGTTTTTCAATCCATCTTTTATTAGAAATATATTCAAAACGTTAAGATATTTGTTGTTTTGTCTTTATCTACTCACATTTTTGTTTTTGTTTTCACAAAATAGTTGTCAATCTAGGGAATACTCTCTCTTTTCCTCAACTCCAAAAATATATATTTCTATGAAAAAAAAGACAACTTGAAATAAATAACCGAGAATGTCTTTTTTTCTATTATTATCGTAGAAATTATCATCGGTATTGTTGTTGTTGTTATTATTATCATTGTGGTAATGATTAATTATACTTGTATACTTGAGATCAGTTGGAAGAGTCTAAAGTTATGTAAGTTTCTTTTAAATAATGTTAGTGCTATAATTTTTCACCGTATTATTCAACAATCATGCTATTATATGTAATAGTATCAGTGGTACTAGTAGTGTTTAAGCATAGATAATATAACCCGAGAAGAAAGAATGAATTCGTATAATGGAAAAGTATAAGATAGTCTCAAGATCTAAAAGAGGACATAGAGTGAGTGAATCTTTGCGTTACGGCCGATTTTTAGTTATATCATCCATCTTTTTCAACTATTTGTTGTGATTATCTTAAATACTCTAATCGGATAGTTTCCACCTACTGCCACGGCTCTATAGATCAGATAATTATTTCATGAACTGATACCAAGTTTTGATTTGACTGCTTCGAGCTCTCTTCGAACTTATTCCTACGCCAACAAACTTCATTGACTGGGGTGGGTAGTGGTTGGGCATATGTTCCAACCACCTCAGTTAATGAAGATTCACTGTTTTACCAACCAGTTGTCATCTTTACTTAGTACCCTGTATCTAATCTCACCATTAACCAATCGATAGTCCACACATATGCGTTGATATATGACCAAATACTAATAACCTATACATATGTCCTCTATTTTCAAAGGTCACTTCACAACCACAAAGAACAAGTGAAACTACCGTTCAGCATACTCGTCCTTCAGTTGTCAAACGGACATCTATCGTACGTCCCAGGCAACGCATGTTGGAAGAAGCCAAGAAAATTTCCTGCCTAGGTTTCGCTAAACACTAACCCACTAGAACTGATTAGACTTGCAAGATTAGTGAAGGGGTCGACGCTCTCAACTACTTCGCTCCCTGTCATCATTTCAGGCGACGATACAGATAATTTCTAAAGCAACATTTCTCAATTCGAGAAAAGGAGAGGAAATGGCATCTCTAACGTGTTGAGATTGTTGCTCAAAGCTACCAGACATTTTCTAGCGTCCTCGCCAAACAGAACCATACCATCTGCGCATTCTAAGTCGATATGTAAAAATCATCTCAGGAGATCAGTGCCTGAAAAGTCAGATAATTAGAGCATTATTTCCAAAAGATTATTAGATAATATTAGGCAAAGCGGGCAACCTTGACGGATACTACTTGTCGCTATCAGTTGTGATAGCACTTCTCCATAAGCTCTCAACCAGTAGTGCTTGAGTATAGAGAGCCTTGATAAGGTTTATTCACTTTTTTGATACATCTTTTGTTAACGGTATTTATCGCGGTCAGTGGACCCAACAACTCTTACCCATGCAACACATGATGTAGGCTGAAAATACGAGTTCCCACCTACCTTTTACTCTATGGTTGTACACGAGTTTACCATAACCTATTCGTCATAATAGTAATCAAGATTTTAACTGCTACTGGTCCCCATGTTACTAAACTCCTACGTAGCTCGGCAATCTTTATGAGAGCTGTTCAAACATATTTTGTCCAATTGGTTATAACTTTTCGAACACTACCTAGGCTTCTCATCGGAAATTTCAGTAAATGTTTTGAACTGACTTCCTCATAATAATGGGCGTGATTGTTTTCTTTAACTTAGTATTTATGGTCGGTTATCTAGATTGTTGGACGAGCTGGCATTATCCCTAAAGTAAGCTGTTCGGGCAAACAATTTCATACTCTAACCAACGTGTGTTTCTTTTTTTGATATCTCGTAAGATTGGAACAACTTTCAGCGGGGCCAGTTGCTGTTTCTATCTCTTTGCATTCAATAGGTCTTCCTACTCCATGTCTAAATTTAATTTGATGTAACACAATCACCAAACTACAAACATATTCAACTTAGATTTATACACCATTATACGATGAGCAGTGATATTATACATGAATACCTAAACCAAAGTGTGTGTATTCAATGATCTAAACTGGAATTTCTCAACAACAGCCAGTTATCCGCTTAAATCAATAGATATGTAATGAGGAATATTCCAAGTAACTAATTTGAAACGAATAGTAGAATGATGAAATGTAATTTTAAATCACAACATTCAATCGAATGTAATTAGCGAATAATGTTCTAATTAGTTGAAAAAGTGAATGCTTTGCGTAATCTCTTGAAGATCTGACCAAACAACCATGACTTGGACAGAAAAAATTCACACAAGTTGGTATAAAATAGTTAAAATTAATTAGTTGAAAAAATATTTGACTTTTTTACCTAGTGATCAAGCTTAACAAAATGTGTTAATATTCTAAATACGTGGGTCAGATCACATTTTCCTATCTAGATGACCGTTAGCAAAAACTGACTCAATGCTTAGGGAAACATATCGCTCTATACACATATCTATAACAGAACTACACCAATGATCTCGCAAAAAACATGCTAATGATATTCGCTCTTGATTTCTCAATTTTCATCTTTCATTTACCTCGTCTGAATCCCAGAACTCAAACTGCACTTTCTATGTTAAACTCCAATTTCCATCATTGTTACACTGTCCACATTATGAAACACTGGAAATTGTTCACTGATAGAACACATTAATATCTCCTTCATCGTCATTAAGATCATAAAGTTCGAGATGTATCCCAATTATCATGACATGTGAATTCATGTGAGAATCACTTAAGATAATTTAATATATACTACTGATACTTATTTTTGATCGCTTAACTCACTGCTTATTAATACTAAACCAGAATCAGGCAACTATATGCTGATTCCTGGTTATTAGTGTTCCTCCAGTTGACTTTATTTGATAATAAGGACAAATTTGACTCATGACTGATTATTTTTAATATTATTACATTTCTTCACATTTTCCTCTAAGCGAATTGTCATCCATCTTAGGCAACTTCGTCATGATGTTGCTGTTGAATTCCTTTAGAATTTAACCATTAGGTTATGTGATTCGGCGAGGCATCAGATGTTAGACGAAATAACTGGCAGTTGTTAGTTCATTTACCAATGAAAGACTCAAGTAGTCATAATAAGCAGTCAATGGGTCATAAATGATGTGATATTAACAATCTCTTATCATTGTTTGGATTGTAATCAATTATTATAAATTGTGAAATGAGTAATCAGAAGAACGTCAGTATCCTCAAGGATGTTGATGATTTTACATCGACATAAAACATAAATCAAACAGAACCCGTTGTTGAATTTGCTTAACTGTGAAACACCAAACAAGGATTATCAGAAGAACACACCATTGCATTTTGTGGTTAAATTGAAGTTACATTGAGTAGAATTTAATCAACAGTGAGGCATATAACACAAGGAACTATTCGGAATGTCTTACTTTCTTATCGACTTATTGTACCGGTACATTTGCCCAATACAATAGTGTTTTAACTGAGGTACCTAAACTGATAATCCTATCTCTTAATGCGTCTCCAAATTCTAACGAACCATTAGTCAACTAACTGACCAAATTATAATTGTAAAGAACTAAAAATGTTATTAATAAGAT